GCATGGAAGCTGCCACTGGGAAAAGAGGACATCATTCTACCAGCTCATTCTAAAAATAGGAAAGATGGGATGGCATATAGCCAACTCCCTTCACAGTTGATATTGGCTACTTAGAAAACCCTATGGGGCAGTTCTACTCTGTCATATGTGGTTGATATGAGTTAAAATCAACTTTAAGGCACCTAACAACAACAAGTTGGTATAGGGTATGGAGCCAGAGTATAAGGCCAAGCAAGTATGGGTCCAACTAGAAAGAGTGCCATGATTAGTGATGCTGTTATTGGAGGAAGATGAGAGTGTGGTGATAAGAATGCCAAGGATCTGTGCTGAATTACTCTATAACCAGGCCCTTACCCCTACTACCTAAAACAAATCCTTGGCTCTCTAGTCCACACCCTGCAGAGATTTCTTGTCTCCATAAACATTGTCCTTACACTTTTAATCTGATTAGACTGCTACACATTTGCACTCATATATGCTTGCATGGTTTACTGGACACTCATAGACAAGGAATTAGATGTATATCTTCCACTATAATATTTACTTCTAGAAATTTTTTATGTAAATCAAATGTTTGGAAATATAATTCTTTAAATGCATAAGGTGTCCTTATAGAAAGAGTTCTGATCACTAGGTAATAAATGGTTTCCTGAAGAAAAGAATCCATTTGAAAAGTCAATAATGAGAATGAGTTTAGCTACTTTGTGTTTGGGACTGAGTCTGAGACAGGAGGAAGCAGGAGTACTGGGGAGAGAAAGTGATGGGGGAATCCTTGGATGGTGTAAACAGTTGATAGGCTTGGCTATTAACCAAAAGATTCAAGGTTCAAATCCATTCAAAGGCAGATCAGAAGAAAGGTTTGGTGATCTACTTCTGAAAAACTTATATAGCACAGTTCTACCCTCACAGTCAAATTGCTTTGAAGAGGGGAGGGGACTAGCACTGTTGAGGGCCAAACCCTTGAGGGCCAGAGTGGATCTAAATGTTCCATAACTATGTAAAAACTAGAGGAGCTGTCTTAACCCCTGTTCTATCTAGTTCTCCTTCATGTCTAGAAGTGATGGGGCTTTCTGTTTTTCTTGCTGAAGAACTTGGAACTGTCTTTACTATTCATACTCTTCCCTTGTTTTCAACCCTACCTGCCCTGTGTCCTCTCTCTCTGGACTTTTGCAGTGGCCAGTTGTTATTAAAACGAGCCATATAAAGGTCTATTTTCTTCTGAGGCATCTTTTATGTTGCTACCTTTCTTATTAGCCCTACTTCACAATCACCCTTTCTTACATGGATTTGTTCATCAATGGCAGAGAAGAAACACCTGTTAACCACTCCCAGAAAGGAGCCTTATTGATCCAGAGAACAAGTATAAGATCAGCACTCTTACTGAAAGGAAGATACTTTGATATTTTCTGAAATATGTGTTAAATCCCTTAGTTAAAATTTATTGTTGTAGAGGAAGAGTCATAGATGAATCTTGATCAAAAGGGGGAAAAATAAAATGGAATTTCAAATTTTCATGGACTCTAGACTTTCTGGAGCAATGGAGGGTACATGAACCCCTAAAACTATTACTTGAGATAATCTTTAATCTTAAATCAAAAATAGCCCCTGAAGTCATTTTAAAACTGAGTGATAGTTTAGCTTAACTAGTATTATGCTTTTTTAAGAGCTCTCTATACTCAAACCAAACCCACTGCCATCGAGTTGATTCCAACTCATAGCATTATATGTGCAGAAAGTGTTGAATTGGTGTAGATTTTGCTGAGTATATTCTCAACAACAGCAGCAAAATAAATAAAATTTAGGCCAAAAAATTTATTGTTGTTGTTAGCTGCTGAGTTGGCCCCGACCCATAGCAATCCCATGCTCAATGGAATGAAACTTTGCCTGGTCCTCAGCCTTTCTCATCATCAGTTGTGATTATGTGATTAGTCCACTGTGATCCAACAATCACACTGGATTCACTGTGTGAGGTTCACTGGCTGATTTTCAGCAGTAGATAGCTAGGCCTTTCTTCTTATTCTAGAAGCTCTGTTGAAACCTGTTCAGCATCATAGCAACATACAAACCTCAACTGACAGATGGGTGGTGACTGCATATGAGGTGCACTGGTTGAGAACTGAACCTGAATCTCCCACGTGGAAGATGAAATCCTACCACTGAACCACCAATGCCCCTATCTCTGGATCACAGATACGATAAAATGAATTAATTTAAACAACTGCAACTACTTGTAGTGAACAATAAAAAATATTTCAGCTCTCCTATTTATTGGCCATGTGAATATGGGCAAATTATTAGCCTCTCTAAACCTCAGTGGTTGTGAAGATTATATGTCAAAGCAAGTAAAAGCTTTTGACACAGTACCTGGTACACACTAAGAGGTCAATGAATGTGAGTAATTGTTTTTGTTGCCAAGTGTAAACTTGTCCTCAAGAAGTTGTGATTCTGTTGAAAAGAGGTGCTTTGCATACATGAACTAATGGTTTTCTTGATGGGTGGGTGATTGACACCTAAATCTGGCAAAGATGAAATAGTATGGGAGGCCCTGGAGTTCCTGGATGGCATAAATGGTTAAATGCTTTACTATTAGGCAAAAGGTTGGTGGTTTGAACCCACTCAGGTTTACCTCAAAAGACAGGCCTGAAGATCTGCTTTTGATAGGTCAAAGCCTGGCAAATGCTATGGAGAAGTTCTACTCTGCACACCTGGGGTCACCATGAGTCAGAATCGATTCAATGGCAACTAACAACAATGATAGTGGGTATCACTAAATGTCATACATGAATATATTCAGTTTTGGATAAAGGAATATAAGGTAGAATAAAAGTTCTGCAGTGATATTAGAATTCTGTAGTTATTCCTTATCTCACTGTAAAATTCAGAATATTCTTTGTCCCCTTTGCCTAAACCAAACCAAACTCACTGCCATCAAGTTGATTGGACTCATAGCAACCCCTCCTTGGTTTTCCAAGGCAGTATCTCTACAGAAGTAGATTCCCCAATCTTCCTCCTTCTGAAGGGCTAGAGGGTTTGAACCGGCAGCCTTCCAGTTAGCAGTCAAATGCCTTGGGTGCTGTGCCACCAGAGCTCCCCCCTTTTGCCTAAGAATAAGAAATCTGACACAAGCATGGTATAGCAGGAGTACTGGACTGAACATGAGTCTTGGATTCTCTGAATTTTTCAATTATAATTCTTAAGGGCAGAACAGTCTTTATGCTTTTAGGAGAGTTTTACATAATGTAAGGAAAACTTTCTAACACAAAAAAGTTGTCCAACAATGATATGGACCCCAGGTTGCTGAGCTCTTGGTGACCAGAGGTCTATGCACTTGGGGTGGATGGTCTCATTGTGGATGGAGGAAACTTGAGCATCTCATGGGTGGTTGGATTACATGGTCCTCAAAACCATTCTAATGCCAAAGCTAAATGGTTCTACGTCATACTTACAAGTTTGAACAACATAATGCAAGAATTCAGTTTGATTTTGTTTTTTTAATAGTGTTAAGACAGAGGTGGAGCTCTGGTAGCGTAGTGGCTAAGATACTTGCGTGCTAACCAGACGGCTGGTGGTTCAAACCCACCAGCCACTCCTCAGAAGGAAGGTTGGGCAATCCTACTTCTGTAGTGATACTGCCTCGGAAACCCAAGGAGGGGTCGCTATGAGTCGGGTTTGACTTGACGGCACATAACAACAACAACAACAACAAGACAGAGGTAAATGGAAACAGTCTGGGATAATACAGATATGTTTCAGATGTTAGTTCCCTATCTTGATGATTTGGGCAAATTATTCAATCTCTCAGATAACTGCTTCATTTATACGACATTTATACCTACCTCTAATGTTACAATGAGTATTAATATGCTGTAATGCAAAAGATGCTTAGTAGGGCTTCAGTAAATCCCGACTTTGCAGAAAAACCCTGCAAAGACTACTCCCCAGGGCAAAGGAAAGGTATACATTCCTTCTTTTAGATGGAAAGAGTTAGAAGATGGTTGATGGGAAAGTTGGGAAAGGGAATTAGAGGCTATAAAAAATATAAAATGTGTGGAATACAAGTGACCTCAGTGACCTTTAGCCAACAAATTTATTTTTGACTCTTATGAACTACTAAATTAGAAAACAGAATCACTACTACTAATCTGAAATGGCTCAATAGTTATAAATTAGCATGCTCCTAAAGCTTGATTACTTGTGCTACTAGACATAAAAGGCACTTCATTCCATGGTTGTTACTACATTGAATGGCAAGTCCTTTTTCATATCTTTGTCCTTACAGAGCTTTTATCTGTGCCAGATTCTGGGGACACTTGGCATAAGCAATACATAAGAGATGTTTTATTATTGTTGATGAATGAATAAATGTGTGTTTGTATGGATATCCCATGGCTCTCTTTTCCAAATACATTCTCATATTTGGCTTTGTAATGAGATTAATGATTGAGGAGGGAAAAGTGAGGAGAAAGGAAAACCCATTTGCCCTCCAGATTTTGCTCTTATTAGCTAATGTTAACATCAGTTCCCAGTCTTTGAGCTTTAGTCTTGGTGATCTAAGGGTGTGTTGAATGAAAAGAGACCATCATGGGCTTTAAAATGCATTATAGATAATGTACAAAGAAGATGAACTATAATTTGAGCACCATTTTTAATCTTCATAAAATAAAACAGAATAGATAAGAAACACATTTGAATAAAATACAATAATTCAAATAATTCTATTCCCTTATATTTTGTAAAACAAAACTGAAGTGGCTGACAAAAGTAAGAATTTTTAAAATACTGATTTTTTTAAAGGGAATCTTTATATCCTAGACATATTTAAGTTTTGAAAAAGTTTAATTCTAAAAAAATTAAAGGACTAATAAAATTCTGAAGCCAAGTACCAGTTGATGAACACCTGCAAACAAGTTTGAATTGACTTAACAGAATCTAAAGTATTATTCATGATCGATTTATTAATATCTTATTTTCAGGAAAAAAAATTAATTAATAAAATTCACCTGCCAAAAATCAGCCACAGTAGCAGGAAGTGGTCCTTGGGTTGCAATATATGCAGGATTCCTAGGATCATGATCCATCTGTAAAGAAGATTATAGTAACAAAGATTAGTTTAAAGATGTAAAACACAGGTGAAGGGGGAACTGAAGAAGGCGTATCTGCACTGAATACCATCTTAACACCATCACCATCACCAGTTGCCACTGAGTTGACCTGACTTATGGTGACCCCATGTATATCACAGGAAAACTGTGCTCCACAGGGTTTTCAATGGCTGCTTTTCTGGAAGTAGATCACCAGGACTTTCTTCTGAGGTGCTTTTGGGTAGACTTGAACCTACCAACCTTTTGGTTAGCAGCCAAGTGTGTTAACCATTTGTACTAACCAGGGACAGAAATAAGGGAAAAAAGAAAAAAAAAAACAACTTCAGATTTCTTTTTTTTTATTACCCTTCCTTGATTCCAACGTGCACTCATATCAGACAGCAGAGTACCGCAACTTCTATGCCCTGAACCTGGGCTATCACATCTGAAATGCTTTTCTTACATGAAAATTGAGGTTGTAAGAACAACATCAACAGAAGTGAAGGTCAGCAGCCCATATAAACCAGATGCCAATAAATTAATTTACTAACATTAAGACCATGCATGCTTGGCCATCCTGACCCTCCGGCAGGGTGGTGGAGACAAGGGGAAGGAGGGCAGAACAGGCTCAACTGGAGCTTTCTAGGCCCCCTGTGCAGGAAATGTTTACAAGTATGCAAATGATTTCAGAGCAATTCAGCTAGTGTTCCCAACGTGAATGACCTTCATTTCCACCACAGGCTGTACATGGTGTTCAGAACAATGAGTCCATTTGTAATATGCACTGGCACTGGGCTGGCAGAGGTTAATCTTAAGCTCTTACCAGAGAGGAAGGGTACCATTCATCCATGCACCATGGATAAACTCTTCAATGTCCTGAAAGAATTAATTAACAACTGGCATCCTGCTGCCCAGAAAGAGTTAACTCATCTACCATGAGAGCTTGTTTGTGTTTACCCCCAAAAGCAGGCTTGCTAGAGCTGAGTCTTTGGGCAGATTCTGCACTGTGAGTGCCCATACTTCACAGGCGATATGTCCTGGCCTGCAAGTTGCTAATTTCTTATTCTGTTTCTACCATGCCAAACAGGAGACTAAAAACAAACAAAAAAGAATGCAGTTGTGGTGTGTATGGCTAAGCTGATTTGTCCAAATGCATCCTGCTAGCCTCAGTAGGGGAAGTTTGGCTTTAAAGACCTTAATTATAACATTTAATTCAAAGACTGACTAAACAGAAGAAAAGAAATCTGAGAAACAAAGCCTTGCGAAGCTAATAGGATTAAAGCACAAGGCTGAGAGGTACAGATGGATAGGGTACATTTCTGTCCCCTAAATCGTAAGGCTTGGTCATTCTGAAGAGAACAGAAAGACATGAGGCTCGGTGTCAGCTAAGACATCTTCACTGCTGTAATTCCCAAATTACTAAACATCTCCCAACACACCCCAAAAGAGACCACAGGAACCAGCTCCAGAAGATATCAATGTTGGTGGAAGCAAACACATGTAGAATCTCCCCTTCCTGCAAGACTGTACTTATTCATAAGCCTTATGTAGTCCTTTATTTTTTCACATTCAATTGTTAGAATGTACTCTTTTGATATCAGGTTTTACTTAAAAGATTGTAAATACTCTGTATTTAAGGATAATGATTTGAATGCATTTCTCAATACAGGGAAAAATGGGAAAGTTTCAACCATACATAATTCTGAACTGGCACATGAAGGACTCCAGTTGTACTTTTCCATGTCACCTTAAAACACTGCCTTGCATCTATGTTTGAAGAAGAATCAATGTGAGGCATGTTATCTTTAATAGTAATCTCGAGAATCTGTGCGCAGCCTATCAATACTTTCCGCGATGATGGCTGTCAGCATAAAAGAATGCACCGAATGTACCTTATAATTATGTACACTATAAAAGAGGGAAAGAGCATAAAAGAACAGATGTAAGTTATTCTAACAGAGCAACAATATGATGCTAGCTGGCAGGGAGTGGGGAGGGAGGAGCAAGAAAAAAGCCTTCATGCATCTAATTTAGTGATTCGTAATTAAAACTGGACCTCATTTTGAAATTCACCACAACACACACAATACAGGTAAAATTATGTTACTCTCACTGAAAGCCCCAATTAAAATGTTTCAGTAGAAGAACGCTTAGTAGAAATAAGGAGTTTTGATTTTTTAAAATATGCACTTGTTGGGGGTGACAGTTATTTACTGAGACCCTTGCCTATTCTCTGAAAATAGTTATGCATAAAAATTAAAACCCCCACCTCCTTTCCAAATGTGTGTGGTGTATGTATATGGTTTTGTTTTTGCCAAAAGCACTTTAGAGAGCAACACATTTTAAAATTGTGAGGATGTGCAAACTAGCTTATTTAGTTGCTTTCAAAATGAGATAAGATGTGATTAAAAGTAAAAATATGGACAGAGTTTCAAGAGGATAAATAAGGCAACTTTATGAAAGGTCTTGACTGTCATGGTATTTTCACTTGCTTAAACCCATCACTTCAAATACTCAAGACAGAAACAGAAAATCAGGCATGTTGTGAGAAGATGCTACAATAAGGAATATTTGCACACACTCAATTCTAGGAACTTGGGACTTTGCACCCTTGGCCTTTCTCTACTGCTCAGCTACTGTCATAGAACCACTATTTAGAATGTGGTAAGTATTTTAAGAATGACACAGAAGTGAGATGCATCGCGAGTTTAATAATAGTTCAAAAGACAATTACAATTATTTAATTCCCGGCACATTCTGTTTTACAGAAAATAATTATGGGCAGAAGCACTTTTTGCTTGTAGCAAATATAAGGCAACAGAAAGCCTTATCGTGGTTTTATGCAGTCTTTAAGTGAATAAAAGGAAAGCAAATATTGAACTAAATGAACAGAAGTTTTATTAAATTTAAGACTTCTAAGGAAAGAAAAGTGTATTTAGAGGAAATCAAGTAAGTTTCCATTACCACTATTTTTTTTCCCATGAAGGGGTATGACTGACAATCACAGCATGGTATATGTGTCCTCATCTCTCTTGCCTAAAGCAATCTGTTGTCATCTAGTTGATTCTAACTCATGGCGACCCCATGTGGCTCAGAGTAGAAATGTACTCCATAGGGTTGTCAGTGGCTGATATTTTTAGAAGTAGATCTCCAGACCTTTCTTCCAAGGCATCTCTAGGTGGACTTGAATTGCCAATCTTTCAGTTCGCAGTCAAGTGGGATAGCAGGTCTGTTCCAGTTTCCTCTGACCCTTGTCCTTAGTCTTCCCTACTTTCTCTCTCATTATTTCCTTGTAGTATATTTTTTATTTGTAGCAATGTTATGTTCATACATACAGCAGGACAGTGGAAAGTCAATGAATCTCTTGGGTCTCAGTCTTAATATCTGTGAAATGCTGGTTGGCAGTGGGGGTGAGGGAGGTTGGATGATATGCTAAGAGCCCTTTTAACTCTGGAATTCTATAGGCACCTCTAGGTGCAGACTCATATATGCATATATGTGTATGTATATATCTTAGGTTTTTGTCAGTTATACTGATATCACCAGTGAAAACCTGTAAATTTATTAATTTAAAAGTCATGCTGTTAGGTAGGCATGTTAGAACACGTTCTATATTCTTCACTTCTGAACTATGAGATTAAAGGACTTTACTTCTATAAGCAGAGAGTTTATGTTTTCTAGTTAGCACTAAGTGGCCGGGACATTTGAAGAGGGAAAGTAGTGCCATTGTTAAACATTTTCACCCATAATGGAAGTTTTCTGCAGTAACACTGCCCAGGCAGAGAAGTTGGTATCACAGAGAATCAAATGTTATTCATTGCTTTGTGATTTCATGTAAAATGAAGATCAAAGGGCATCATGACCCAAGAATAATTAGCTAGTAGTGCTTAAGGCATTTGACTGCTAACTAGAAGGCTGGTGGTTCAAACCCACCAGCCACTCCTTGGAAGGAAGGTTGGGCAATCTTCTTCTGTAGTGATACTGCCTTGGAAACCAAGGACGGGTCACTATGAGTCGGATCTGACTCTATGGCAGTGGTTGCATTTGCATGACTTTTTTTAAATTTTCATTTCAAAAAAAGGAAAACCATTTGCTTCTGTTCAATCTATTATCTATGTGGTAGACTGATTCTCAAAAAGACACCAAAGGAAATAGAATATGAGGAACACTTGTTCCTATGTATTTGTAAATATAAATAGTTGAAAAAAAAACCCAGTGATTTGTCTTCAGCTATAAAAAGACAATTGTTAAATAAGAATGAAGTGATTGGTTTTATCTTTAGGAGTGCTAATCTGCATAAAGAAAGTAACTATAATCACCCCAATATTCTACACAAAGCTAATTTCATAAATAAGGATTCAGCAAGTTAAGACCATTAAGAGCAATATTCTGAGGCTTTGAACAGCTCAAGAACAGCTCATTAATGAGGAGTTGTCTGGTGGTAGTGGTGGTGAAATGAAGCAGATTCTGCTCTCAAACAAGCCACTGGCCACCGTGAGCTCTGACTCACACCACAGTCTCAGGTGAGATCTGGGCCAACCATTGTAGGAGGGGTGGAGGAGGACAGGGTGTCATACTTATTCTAAAATCTTACACACTGAGTGAATATGCATTTGTATTTCTCTCTACCCACCCTTACATCTGCCTTTTCTAACATTTAAATCAAATTCACAGAACATTTTCTTGAAAGCAAGGAGATACCAGGCCTCAGTTTTCCAGTGACATTTCCAGAAACCAAGTCTTAATACAAGAATTTTGGGGAAATTATAACTTTAGGAATTAATGAGAAAGAGACTGACTATCAACTTGATAGACTATCAACTTCTTGAGGGAGGTCACGCTGCATTTCTACTAATAAAAGAGAAACTGGGAATGGTTTAATGGCTTAAAATTTTTCATATTTTATTTTTATGGGTTGAAATTTGTTTAAGTAAAATAGTGAAGGCAAACCCTAATTATACACATATATATGTTTAAGTATAAATATTTTCTGAGAATGAAAGAATTGGTTTCCTATTTGGACAACTTCTTATGATTATCAGGATAGCCAATGTATCATCTTTTTCAGATTAGTAAAGTCCCAATTTTAAAGCAAACCTGCTGCCGTCAAGTCCAGTTCCAACCCACAGCCACTCTACAGGACAAAGTAGAACTGCCCTATATGGTTTCCCAGGCTGTAGTCTTTACAGAAGCAGACTACTACGTCTTTCTCCTGCGGAGTGGCTGGTGAGTTCAAACAGTCAACCTTTTGGTTAGCAGATAAGTGCTTAACCACTATACCACCAGGGCACCTCTTGTCCCGTTTAAATTAGTTAAACACATTTTTGATTAAAACTTTAAGCCATTTTTTACCTTCCTTAATAAACAGCAGAATGATGACTTAAGCTTATTGTTAAGTGTCATTAGGAATTTCAGAATTATTCCTGGTAATAAAGCTTGTATGTTGTGTTTGAGCAAACTGTCATGTTAATGATATTCCTCAGTCTGGTGTCTTCTATAATAGCCGGATTGAGTTTTTAAATGTAGCTGATGGGCTTCTCTCTCACACACCCTATGCGGGAAAACAGAATTCCCATTTACTTTCATGACCTCTGATTTAAAAGCAAAGATTGCATATTATTTACTACTGGATGATTTCCCTGAAATTTAATGAGGACTAAGTACAAATATGACAGATGTAATTATCATGGGTTTTATTCTGCACAGTCAGGGTCTTCTTGTGTTATAATTGCAAGCTTTTCATTCAATTGCTGCTAGTAAGGTTATCATTGTACTTTCAGTTATTTCAGAAAGAAGAGGCACTATAGATTTCTTTTAGTCATTCTTACAACTCACAATAAAAAAAAAAAAATTGTGGAAAATGGAGGAAAAATACAAAATGGTACCATCAAATTACCTCTCTTTCCTAGCATCACTTTCTGGCTCAAGTCCCTACCCTGTGAGGCCTAGGGAGGTCATGCTGAATTTCTACTAATAAAAGAGAAACTGGGAATGGCATGAAGTACAAGAATTCATGTCACACGCACACATCCTCTAATGCCTGTGTGTGCAAGTGTAAAAGCTGTCAGACAGATTCTAAGGTTAATACAATTTCTGCACCAACCACCTCTGTTCACATTAAGACTTGGCTTTAGCCTGAAATAGCTTAGAAATCTGGGTGTAGGAACCTATAAAGTAGTGGAGAGTTGAGCATGGCCATAAACTGAACTTTATTCTTTTAGACTTGAAAAGAATTGCTTTATTCTTCACTCTGGCCTTATCATTCGAGTCATTCTAGAAAAAAGGAACTGCAACAGGAAGAAAACAGCTTTTTTTCTTTTTCTTTCCCCTAGACAGTTTTAAGTTGACATCACTAATGCTCATCTTTTAGGGGCAAATCCAAGCCCTTATAAAACCCAACTTCACAAGAAATGATGCTATATACATAAAACAAGAGATCAGTCAATCAATGACGCTTTCATTTGATTTTTTTGAATTAGAATAGACAGAAAAATACTCAACACATCACACTGTAGTTAAGGAAGGCTAAATTAATGGCTCCAAGTGGTATATTTGAAGCACAAGATGAAATAAATCTTTAAAGTCTATCTCTGCTGGAAGTAGAGAAATTAAAGCCATGAGTCATTCCACTCTTTCTTAAAAAAATAAATAAAAGTCTAGGCTCAGGTGGGTGTAGACTAAGTGTGATAGACTAACTCTTCACTTTTAATTCACATTTTCAAAGCCAAGTATATTGTATTGTGCTTTCATTGCGTGGGGTTGTGAACATTTCAGAAATGTGATTTGATCCATGGTATGCTGGAGTCTTAATAATAAGCTATATAGAATAGATACACTGACATAAACAGAATCAACAACTATAAAAATGGTCTACTATCAATTGCTTCTGCTTATAATCAGATGGGTGGCTGTTTTGATATAAAGCTTACTACTGAAGAAATAAATAAGACTGTCAATACACTACATAAGGGCATGTTATGATTCTGGAGATGACCCACTGTCTCCCAGTAATCTAACCCATTGTGATCTCTACCCTCCAGATTCATTAGAACAGTGCTACATCTTTCAGGGACTATATTTCATCAAAAGTAAATCTGAAATTATAGTTTGATGTCTTGATGCTTCCCAGAAGACTAAATTAGAGGAAAAACACTTTAAAGAGTTGGATACTGCAACCAATATTCCTCATAAACATATATTAAATCTCTGCCTTTCCTCTGGCGTTGGGTTAAAATGCTGTCAACAACGCTTACTAAAAAATTCTATCTTGGAACAGCTTCATTTCACTCTCTTCACACCTACAATCACCCGAACTTCATTTTGAAAAGCCAGCTTGAGTCATCACTTAAATCTGACTTTTTAACTTCTCTCTACCATCTCTTCTTTGTTTAGCCTTTAGGTGGCTCCTAATTCTCCCTCTTTCAGGCCTATCTGCTACCCCTAAGGCTCACAATGGAGGAAAAATATTCAAATGGTGCAGAGAAGATAAAGCTGACAGGAAGAGATCCACATCAGGAGTGGGTTGGTAAGAAAATCTCTGGAAGATAGGAAAGCCTGCTTCACAGGTGGGCTATCTGAAGCTACTATGACTATTTTTCCAGAAACATAAGGTACTTCAAATGTCTTGTACTCCTTTAAAAGTCAGTCCCTCAAAATCATAAATTAAAAAAAAGGGGGGGGGACCAGGTTTGCTGGTCTGATAGAGCCTAGTAGAACCCCTAAGACTATGGCTGCTAGTTGCCCTTCAGTCTGGAATTGAACCCACTCCTGTGGCTCCCAGCCAAACAAAAGAAAGGCATATGAACTGAACATTTATATTAGGTAGACACACTCCTTGGAGAGATCAGTCATGGGAGAATAGAAGGGCTGTGGCATGCACAGGGAGACAGCTGGGGGCAGGAATACATGGGAGGGAAGGACACAGGGAAGAGGTAACTATGAGGAGGAAGTGGAAAGAGAGCTGTTGCACTGTGGGAAATTGCAGTCAATGTCATGAGACAAAGTGTATGTGAACTGCCATAGGGCAAATAAATTTGCTTTGTAAACTTTCACCCAAATTATAATAAAAATTGAAAAAAAAAAAAAAAAACGTTCCGAGTAAGGAAAACAATCACAAAGTACTCTCTTTTTCTTAAATGAAAGACTCCCACCCAACTCGTGTAGCCTTAAAGGAACTAACTATAATTCTGAATCTGCCTTAGTGGCCTTAATTGTTTAAAAAAGTGGCAGGTTTGCATTTAGCTGCCCCTTTCCCCTGAAAAACTAGAGGAATAAGTAGCTCTAGAAAAGGGAAATACAACCAATTAAGAATTCTTCCTAAAAGTCAAAGGTTCTTGTCAATAAATTACCAAGGTGCTGTTGCTGGACATTCTATATGTCACTACATACATATATATATGTCACATCACTTCCACCTTGCTTAATAAAACAGCTGTCATCTGGTGCAAGAGGTCCAGACACCAAAGCTCAAGAAGACAGGCTGAGGGATAGAGAGCCAGCTTTTGTTAATTCTGCTTGAGATCAGTTACCAGCTTACTACCTAGAGCATGACACAGACTTGTTTTCCCATTAAGAACTCCTGGGTTGTGGCTAGATCTTGCTGAGAAAGAAACCAAGAGCTGACTCTTTACTCAGGTTATATACTTACAATGGGGCTGGCGTTGATATAGTCAGAGTTGCTGTGGCTGTTTTCCGGCTTCAGTAGTATCCTGGAGTGATCATCTGCAAGCAACCCCAAGAATACACAGTTAGATTTCTGAACAGCTCTTGGTCTGCTTCAAGAATATGTTATGCTGATCTACCTTAAATGTTTGATGCCCTTCTCAGCCTACAAAATGCCACTTCAATGCTCTCTTTGGAATTCCCCTCTAACTGTGTGATTTTTCCTTTTAATGTACTTTTTCCTTTCTGCCCTCCGTTTATGACCCTTACTTTATAGCCTAAGTGGTTTAAAAACGAGTGTTGGGGGCAGGGGAGTGAACTCATGTGGTAGAATTTAGATTTTCTTATATAATTTTCAAATACTAACATTAGGCATTTCTTTGTGATACTTAAGGAGCTCTGATGGTACAGTGCCTAAGGCATCTGACTGCTAACTAGAAGGCTGGCAGTTCAAACCCACCAGCCACTCTGTGGAAGGATGATGGGGCAATCTACTTCTATAAAGATTTATTGCCTTGGATACCCAATGGGGTTCTCTATGAGACAGAATCAACTCAATGGCAGTGCGCTTTTTTTTTTCCCCCTGTGATACTTTATTTATCTCAAAACTCACTGCTATTAAGTCAGATCCAACTCATAGTGACCCCTCCTTGGGTTTCCAAGGCAGTATCACTACGGAAGTAGATTGTCCAACCTTTCTTCCGAGGAGTGGTTGGTGGGTTTGAACTGACAGGCTTCTGGTTAGCAGTCAAACACCTTAGGCACTACGCCACCAGAGCTCCCACATTATGTATAATATACTTAAATATATATACTTTATATGTATATCACAGCATATTACCAAATGTGTCTATCAAATAGACACATTTGGTAACATCGTAAATAAATATAAACACGACTATTAAACTGTGGGCCAATTTTCAAAATAGAGAGTTTTATAATCTAAAAAGGGAATCCCTGGGTGGTGCAAACAGTTAAGTGTTCGACTACTAGCCAAAAGAATGGCAGTTCAAACCCATTCGGAGGCACCTGGGAAGAAAGCCCTGGCAATCAGCTTCCAAAGGTGACAGCCTTGACAACTCTATAAACTACAGTCCTACTCTGCATATATGGGGTCACCATGAGTCAGACCTGACTGGACAGCAACTAACAACAATAATCTAAAAAGAGCTAAATCCTTGAAAATACAGGAATTTTATTTTAAAAGTGAGAACATAAAAAAAAAAAAGCAGTTGGAGAGGGGACTAGAGGAGAAGTTTATAAGTGGAAACTTGTTGACAATAAATGTACCTCAAAGAGGCAAAATAATTTGAATTTTGTTGAAATCAGACACAACAATTGGGATTAGTGACACTTCTGATCTGTCAGAGCCCAGTCCATTTCATACATGGATTATTCTTAATTTCGGTTCTGAAATAATTACCATTCTGCTTACTGTGGCAACGACTTTGCCTTGTTTCTCAGGAACTTTGTTATTTTTGGAATGTGGCCTTCCATGGGGAGTCAAGAAAGGAACAAATGGGAAGGCAGGGACATTGGCTGGGTCAGCTTTGGAAATGTCAAGCTGGCAAAGTTCACAATGGAGGGAAACACCCCTGAGTCCTCCCTTTTCCCTCTGCCATCTCTGGGCACGTGCTCACCTCTCTCTCTTTTCTGCAGGTGTCAGCTGAAAACTGAAAGTGATACCACGTATATCTGTAATCCTTTGCTGCAATGAATACCTTTCTGATGGTACACACAATATTATGTACTTTATTTTCTTCTGAGAAAATAAAAACAGCCTGGGGCTGGAATGGTAAGAAGCAGGATTTCCAGTGGGGGTGAACTTTTCACCTCTGGTCCAGTTTCCCTGCATTTCCAAGGACAGACCAGCTTCTGGAGACCACTCCCTAAGGACATGGCTCCCAATAGTGAAAAGCAGTTTAGGAGAGGCAGCGAGAATGCACAGATGCTTTGCTTTTGTTTGTGCTTCTTTCATTTTTCTCAGTGATTATACTTCTTTGTTTATAACACATTCTAGGGCTTGGGAAACATGGTGAGTCCTGCAAGTGATGGAATTTGGAAAGTATCACCTACTGGAAACGAATGCATCTGAATGTACTTAAGAGTAAATTGGTAATTCCATCAATCTTGTTAAAATATTACTATTTCCAGCCACAAAGAGAAATGATACATTTCTGATACATGCTAAGGCATGGATGAATCTTGAAAACATTGTGCTGAGTGAAGACAGACATGGGATGACAAATATTGTATGATCCCTCTTACGTGATACAACTATAATAAACAGATGCATAGGCACAATTTTTTTTTAGTGGCTATTAGGGGCAAGGAGAGGGAGAAATGTGGAATTATTGCTTAAGGAGTACCAAATTTCTGTTTGGGGTGATAAAAAATCTTTTGAAAATGGATAGTGGTGTTGATTCTACAACATGGTGAATGTAACTAATGTCACTGAATAGCACACTCAAAAATTACTAAAATGGCAAAGTTTTGTTATATATGTCTTACACAATAAAATTTAAAAATATTAATCTTAACTTTTTCAGCCAAGATCAAATAGATAAGAAAAATCTAGAGTCAGGGAAAAGAGCTTATATATTACATGATATATTTATATGTGGTACATTACATGTACCCAAATATTGTACAAATGCTCTGAAGGTATTTATGATTGTAGCTGCCAAATCATTCCACCAGCATTTATTTGCACTATGAATAATGGCACAAAAATCACATGAACTGAATGAATGGCTTTGGACTCCTGAAAACTTATTCTTAAGAGATTGAAAAATTTGCAGTGGCAGGAAATTGAAATAAAATTTACTAGAAAAATTGGTCAACTCTGACATTCTAACCCCCTAGAAACACTATCATAAAAAAATGAAGTTCAAGAAGCTCAGTTTCACAGTGTGATGCCACATGGACACATCAAAGCAAGAGATGTATATTTTACTTTGAAGTAGGTAGCCTTTTCTAAAGGGGTGGACTAGGCCTATTGTTCCCACCTGCATGGAATTGTGGAATAAAAAAGCAAGACTTCTAGCTGCTTCCAGAGGGGCTCACAGGAGCCCGGCCTCATTATAAATATTTTCAACACAGACAACTTTAGGTTCTTATGACAGTGGCAACTGAGGATTGCTCCTGATTGTGTGAGAAACCTTTACAAAGAGCAGGGTCACCAGCAAAAGAAAGCGGAGTGAGGGGATGGGGAGGAAGAATTACAGCTTGCAAATTCCTGGCTTCAGGAGTTGCGCATTTTGAATGTGCTAAAAGCGGCCAGAGACAAACCATCCCTCCTTGTGGGCTGAATAGGCACTTAGAGAAAGCCCAGGCTTTAGAGAGCAGGCTGCTTGGTTGGTCTCATCACAAAGGGGCTGTGCGGCACTGCTCTGTAGGCAATAGGCAGCAAAGAGAAGGTGGCCTTGCTTTCACTGGGGTTTAGTAAATAAAGTATCAGCTAGAGCTTCTAATTGAAAAATTAAGAAAATGCTCTATAAATTTGAGAATCTCTTTGAAATAAAAATGCAACTTCAGAGCATGGCATTCTAAAGGTAGATGGGGACAAACTATTTTATGCATCTGAGCCTAAACTTGTGCTGTTGATTTTAACTCAATGGGGATTCCACAGAATTTCTCAAGTATCTCTTTTTTAAGAAGTATTATTAGTTGCATGTGTTTCCCTTTTGGTTACCCTTTTAAAGATGAGATTTAGGGTGGAGTAAATGTTTCTGTGCTTGGCTGCTAACTGAAAGGCTGGAAGTTGGAGCCCACCCAGTGGCACCTCAGAAGAAAGGCCTGTTGATCTATTTCTGAAAAATCTGCCATTCAAAACCCTATGTTGCTTCTCAGCAACAGCCAAGCACCTTGAGGGAGGGAGTCACCAGGCCTGTGGGTTCGGGACCATGGTCTTGGGAGACATTGAGCTCAACTAGCACCACATGGTATATATAATTCTTGTTCTACATCGTACTTTGGTGAGAAGTGACTGGAGTCTTAAAAGCATCCAAGATGCAACTACTGGTCTCTTCTAGTCTGGAGCAAAGAAAAGTGAAGAAAATGAAAGCCATACGGCAGTAATTAGTCCAAGGGTCTGATGGACCATGGGAACCTCACCCCTCACAACCCAAAGATCAGAACTAGATGGTGCCAACTACTCGGAAAGGGATTCAAAACTGGAGATCCTGGATAGAGTGGGAGGGAAAATGTGGAAAAAATTCAAAAACATAAGAATGACCAGAATTACTGGTCAGATAGAGATGGATAAAATTCCCGAGACTATGGCCCTGGGTTATCCTTTGGGCCTGGAACTACACTCACTTCCATGGATTAGCTCTCAGCCAAATAGCAGAAAGGTCTACAAGCAGAACACCTACCCCAAGGAGATGTACCCCTTAGACAATCAACCATGAGAGCTCAGAAGAGCACCACTTGCATAGGGGAAAAGCTGGACAGACAGGAAGGCATAGGTAAGGAGGACACAGGGAAGGGGTCGTCACAGACAGGAGATGACAGGAGAGCTGTTTATTGTTGGGATTGTAATCGGTGCCGTGAAACCAAACGTGTATGAACTCTGGAGGGTGAAACGAATTTGCTTTGTAAATCTTCACCCAAATAACAATAAAAAGTTACAAAAAAACCAAAACCCTATGGAGAGCAGTTCTACTTTAACACACATTGAGTCACTCTGAGTAGGGATCTCAACCACAGAGCAGTTAATTTGTTTTGAGTCTAGGACAGAACTTCAAAAACTTTAGAGTTCTTCTACCTTCCAATCCTATATTTGATTTTACAGCAACAGGTTGGTTCTAAAATTAACAATGAAATGATCGTGTTTTTAATATTGGACCATTTTGAGCCTCAATTTGAAATAACTTGAGATACCCTGGAAGAGGCAGAGTGATGCTGGCTGGTGTCCAATGGAGGGGGGAATAATGTAACAGAGGTTGCAATGACTTTCATTTTGCTAGACAAATCTCTTAACTTTTTTGTGATTCACTCTTCCTGTTCTTTAAATGGACCTGTCCTTTTTTTTTTTTTTTTTTTTTAAGAGGTGTTAT